AATCAAGCCTACTACTGTTGTGTCGTCTGCAAACTTGATGATTGAGTTGGAGGCGTGCTTGGCCACGCAGTCATGGGTGAACAGGGAGTACAGGAGGGGGCTGAGCATGCACCCTTGTGGGAACCCAGTGTTGAGGATCAGCGAAGTGGAGATGTTGTTTCCTACCTTCGCCACCTGGGGGTGGCCCATAAGGAAGTCCAGGACCCAGTTGCACAGGGTGGGGTTCAGACCCAGGGCCTCGAGCTTAATGATGAGCTTGGAGGGTACTATGGTGTTGAATGCTGAGCTATAGTCAATGAACAGCATTCTTACATAGGTATTCCTCTTGTCCAGATGGGATAGGGCAGTGTGCAGTGTGATGGCAATTGCATCGTCTGTGGATCTATTGGGGCGGTAAGCAAATTGAAGTGGGTCTAGGGTGACAGGTGAGGTAGAGGTGATATGATCCTTGACTAGTCTCTCAAAGCACTTCATGATGACAGAGGTGAGTGCTACAGGGCGATAGTCATTTAGTTCAGTTACCTTTGCTTTCTTGGGTACAGGAACAATGGTGGCCCTCTTGAAGCATGTGGGAACAGCAGACTGGGAAAGGGAGAGATCGAATATGTCCATGAACACACCAGCCAGCTGGTCTGCACATGCTCTCAGGACGCGGCTAGGGATGCCGTCTGGGCCGGCAGCCTTGCATGGGTTAACATGCTTATATGTCTTAATCACGTCGGCCTACAGTCCTTGGTAGTGGGCCTCGTCAGTGGCACTGTGTTATCCTCAAAGCAGGTGAAGGTGTTTAGCTTGTCTGGAAGTGAGACGTCGGTGTCAGCGACGTGGCTGGTTTTCTTTTTGTAGTCCGTGATTGTCTGTAGACCCTGCCACATACGTCTCGTGTCTAAGCCGTTGAATTGCGACTCCACTTTGTCTCTATACTGATGTTTTGCCAGTTTAATTGCCTTGCGGAGTGAGTAGCTACACTGTTTGTATTCTGCCATATTCCCAGTCACCTTGCCATGATTGAATGCGGTGGTTCGCGCTTTCAGATTTGCGCGAATGCTGCCGTCTATCCACGGTTTCTGGTTAGGGTAGGTTTTAATAGTCACAGTGGGCACAACATCACCTATACACTTCCTGATAAACTCAGTCACTGTTTCAGTGTATATGTCTAAATTATTTTCAGGAAGCTACCCGGAACATATCCCAGTCCGCGTGATCATAACAATCTTGAAGCGTGGATTCTGATTGGTCAGACCAGCGTTGAATAGTCCTTAGCACGGGTACTTCCTGTTTGAGTTTCTGCCTATAGGAAGGGAGAAGCAAAATGGAGTCGTGGTCAGATTTGCCGAAAGGAGGGCGGGGGAGGGCCTTATAACCATCCCGGAAGTTTGAATAGCAATGGTCGAGGATTTTAGCAGCGCGAGTACAACAGTCGATATGTTGATAGAACTTCGGCAGCCTAGTCCTCAAATGTGCTTTGTTAAAATCCCCAGCTACAATAAATGCAGCCTCAGGATATGTGGTTTCCAGTTTGCATAAGGTCCAGTGAAGTTCTTTGAGGGCCGTCGTGGTATCGGCTTAAGGAGGGATATACATGGCCGTGACTATAACCAAAGAAAATTATCCCAAGAGAGCCATGTTTCCGTGAAACAGAGTATGTTACAGGCCTTGATGTCTCTCTGGAAAGAAATCCTTGCCCGTAGTTCGTCGACTTTGTTAACCAAAGATTGAGCACCATTGAGCACCACTTTGAAAGCATGTGTTTCTACTTTTTATTCTCTTGGGATCCAATTAGATAATGACCGATTATCGGTCGGGACGATATTTATGGCCGGTATTAGCCTTTCCTAGTCTATCAGCTATTGGCCCAGTATTGGCGCAGCCGATCTCCCCTTTATAGTGCCAGCACACTTGCCTCGTGTGAAACTCCTGCAAGCCGGAGCAACTCACTGCTAGTTAGCCTGTCCTCGAGGAACCTCTGGGCTGCTTGCCCAGCTACCCACTCATGCTGAATATAAATGTAGCACACTTTAATAATGCCCCATGGAATGTAGAAATGTTGAAAGTGTAGTACTCGACCGGTCTCGAGTCCGGTCTCGAGACCACATATTGAGTGTCTCGGTCTTGTCTCAGTGTCGGATACATTTGTACTTGGTCTTGACTCGGTCTCAGACAGTGAGGACTCGTAATTTCTTCCTGAGACCAGCTGAGTAAAAATCTCATAATTATCAGCTTCCATTCAGTCAGCGCATTAAACTGCTTCGCCAGGCCAAATATATACACTCCTTTCTTGAAACATTAATATCTTAACAGCCTTTATATCTATTATAGACATGTTTGCGCAGTGGCGAACCTATAGGCCTTCAGTGTGTGACAGGTTTGTGATTCTGAAAGGACAGCAACCCTAATAACAGCGCACTCATGTAGGAGAGTGCACTTTTTGTAAACACAAATGGCCAGTGGTGTAGTGTAGGGTATACGCAGGTATAAGCCGTATATACCCACTTTTGTTCAGTGGTTTTGAGAGTGAAAATCAGAAAAATCTTTAGGAAAACTCATAAAACAAACATAGGAAAACATAGGATTTTTCACACAGGGTGTGTTTCCTTCGCCGTTTGGGAACTTTTTGTCAAAATTAGAGTATACCCACTTCTCCAGCTACCACTACACCACTGCATAAGGGCAACGGAAAGACAGCAGGCACACACAGCATGATGTTAAAGGATAAGCAGACATAATACTCAGACATAATAAGCCAGTAGCTCCCAATCATAAGAATACAAAAACACAACCATTAAGCATTTCCCAATTGAAATGTACAACTATTACTTCCCATTGCAAAAAACATTTCACGTTTAGCACACAAAGTACCCGGTGACCTAAAGTTTAAAGTGGAACTGACAGCGTTTTAACTACTTTGCAGATATGAAACAAACAATCATAAAATATCAGTCAAAACTATCAAATTACTAGTTTATACTACAAAACCAACTTTATAAGGTTTTAAAAATAGGTTCTATTTGACTCAACGTTCCATGACGTACACTAAGAAATTGTTGGCAGAATAGATGGATGCAGTTCAACGCATGATTAATATAATTCACCAATACATTTCTTGGTAGTCCAAAAAATATTGCTATCAGGTTGTAAATCACAGCTGGCCTGGGACATTGTTTGCTGCCTCCATTCGGGATGCACTGTTTCAGTTTCAATGACTCAATATTATGGACAAAAACTGAAGAATGTAACTAAGGCTGGGCATGTCAATACAATCAAACTAGCAAGGGCAATGATCACAAGTCAGTCACAACGTGGCTAATAGGCTAGCGTATCTATTTATGTAGCAAGCTAAAAACACAGAGCCTAACGTTAGCTAGATAGCTAGCTAGCAGGCTGCTAGGAGGATGTCTTGTCATGCCATTGGAGGAGTGGGTGAGTGTGTGATTGACTTTTTCCCCTCATATTGTTTTTTCGGTGGCTATACACAGCTAGAGATGCATGTGTCATTTGGTTAGCTAGCAAGAACTTGAATGACTGTTATACAGTTAGCATATCTCTTGCGTTCGCAAATTGACTCTGGCTATCTACTCCGATTTCAGAGCACTCTCGTCTGAGTGTGCCAGAGCGCAGAAACTGATGAATTTACGAACGTGCAACACCTGCTGAATATGACCGGTGTCAGTAAAATAAGTAATAGTTAGTCAAGAATGCTCTAAATAACATCTAAACAGCCTTAACCAGCTTTGCTACAAGACAATGCAAATAGTCCAGGTAGCCATTTGATTAGCTGTTCAGGAGTCTTATGGCTTGGGGGTAGAAGCTGTTAAGAAGCCTTTTGGACCTAGACTTGGCGCTCCAGTACCGCTTGCCGTGTGGTAGCAGAGAGAACAGTCTATGACTAGGGTGGCTGGAGTCTTTGACAATTTTTAGGGCCTTCCTCTGACACCGCATGGTATAGAGGTCCTGGATGTCAGGAAGCTTGGCCCCAGTGATGTACTGGGCCGTACGCACTACCCTCTGTAGTGCCTTGCGGTCGGAGGCCGAGCAGTTGCCATACCAGGCAGTGATGCAACCAGTCAGGATGCTCTCGATGGTGCAGCTGTATAACTTTTTGAGGATCTGAGGACCAATGCCAAATCTTTTCAGTCTCCTGAGGGGGAATAGGCTTTGTCGTGCCCTCTTCACGACTGTCTTGGTGTGTTTGGACCATCAACATCATTGAAAATAATAATATAATTATCATAATTGTTATATTATTATAATATTTATTTTATAAATCCTTAGCCCTTCTCTGAAGGCGTAGAAGGCCCATTTTCCCCCACTGTGTTTGGGTTAGTAATATTTTGTAGAGTGGCTCTATTTTCCCTTAGCATGCATTTTTTCACTATTCTGAATGTCTAAAGAATCCATATCTTGTTCTGAAATATGAACACAGAACTACTAGACATTTTGAACTCTTATTATGGTGGTGATTTGACAAAATTGCAATCATGGTCTTGAATTGGACTCGCATTTTTCTGGTCTCTGTCTCGGACCCCTTGTCCCCCTCCGGTCTTGGTCTTGACTCAGACTCGATTTGCTCCGGTCTTGGTCTTGAATCGGTCTCTTTAGGTGGTCTCAAACACAACACTGCTGTTAGGCAAAACAATGTCCATACAGGCTGCAGCACTTCACAAAGCAACATATCGGTAGCTTGCTTGCTAACTAGCTAGGTTAACAACAACATTCAGCATTCATAGAGCTAACTTTGCTAGTTATGAAGCTAACGTCAGTTCACTATTAGCGATAGCTAATGTGCAAATATACTAATTTCAAAGCTGATTGTCAATTACTTGTCTTTCCCTTGCCGAGCCAAAATGCCTGCCTACAAAACTCACGAGTGGTGTCTTTTCTCTATAAAAGAAGACAATAAGCTACTTCTGTGAAAATTTATTATTATCATCATAAAATATCTGCCATTGGCCTCCTTGTCTCCCAAATATCAGTACCTTAAAAACCCATATGGTCGTTCTCTACATCCAATGCACATCTTGTTGTGCTATTTTTCACCCAAATAAAATAAGTTTTTGCAACATTTTTTTAATTTTAAATTTTTGTCATTTAGCAGACGCTCTTATCCAGGGTAGTGAGTGCATACATTTTCATATTTTTCATACTGGTCCCCCGTGGGAATCAAACCCACAACTCTGGAATTGCAAGCGCCATTCTCTACCAACTGAGCCACACGGGACCATTCATTCAACTCACCTCCTCTCTGACTCATCAGCCATCTTGAGGGCCATCATCTCCGCCTCCAGCATCTTCTGCTCCATCATTCTCCTCTCCTCCTCTGAGCGGATGGCTGTCACCTTGATACGCTGCATTTCGGCCTCGGCCTCGCTAGCCTTCTGGGACAGTAGCTTAGCTTCCTCCTCAGCTATCTGGGCTTTCTCAGCCAGGAGATCTGCTGTCTCCTCAGAACGAAGCTAGAGAGGGGGAAAGAAACAGACATAACATGTTCATAGAAGTTAATAAACATTCATAAAGCAGTTTAGCCTCCTCCTCAGCTTGTCTGCTGTCTCCCCACTACGCAGCTACAAAGAGGGATGGAAACAGAAATAAGGCCTTCATAAGCAGTTCATAAGCAGTTCATAAACATTCATAAAGCAGCTACGTGGGCCTTCTCTGCCAGTGGGTCTGCTGTCTCATCTGAAAGCAGTAAGAGGGAGGGAGGGGGTAAGAGAGAAAAACACACAAATCATTAACCACATATTTTGCCTTAGCAGAACGATTGCAAATCTAAATTATTTAGATTAATAAGATGTATTTCTTTAAGCATCAGGACCCAAAATCCCTGGGTAAACCATCCCTTCTCCTAGTAAACAATCTACTTATATGAGATGTGTCTGAGTCTAGGAACACCCCACTGGGTTAAAAAAAAATATATACAAATAAAAAAAGGAACAACCCACTGGTCTTACCAGAGCATCATTGGCCATGTGGGCTTCATCCTGTAGCTGCATCAGTCTCCTCTCCAGATCGTCCCTGGCTCTCTCTGCCGCCTCTCTCAGGTGCTTCTCCCTCTCTAACCGCTGCCTCTCCACCTAGACACAGACAGAGAGAGGCGGGGGCGTAAGCAGGTTACAGGTTCGACCGAGAGGGACATAGTCAGGATCACAAAGAGACAGAGGACAAAGGTAACGATGAACAAGAGGGACAAGAGCTGCAGCTGTAAAGGCAGAAAGAGGAGCACAGAGACAGTCGGGGTGGTAAACCACCTCCATGTCTCTTCCAACGACTCGGCCTCCATTGACCATTCTGTTCATACCCGTTTCCTGGCCCTCTCCTCTCGGGCCATGGCCTTCATCTGCTGCACCTCTAGAGAGTCCACCCTCCTCCTCCGCATGAACAGGTCATGGTTCCCCATGCACAGCTGCAGGATCTAGAGTGGAACAATTAGGTGAGTTTAAGTACACTTAAAGGTCCAATGCAGCCATTTGTATCTCAATTTCAAATAATTTCTGGGTAACAACGAAGTACCTTACTGTAATTGTTTTGAATTAAAATGGTCAAAAAGAAACAAAAATTGCTTCTTAGTAAAATGCAATTTCTCAAGCAAGAGAGGGGCAAGAGTGTGGAGGGGAAAACTGAAAACCAGCTGTTATTGGCAGAGTGGTTTGGAATGCTATTTTTTATTGGTCTATTAACTAATTTACTACCTCCAAAGTTCCATCCCAACAAAACAGGCTGATATTTCAGGCGGTCTTTTCAAACAGCTCTTACACTAAAAGGGCAGTATCATCATTTTCAGAATTTCACAGTATTATTCCAACCCTTATAGTGTGGAAATATACACTGAGTGTACAAAACATTATGAACACTATTCCTAATATTGAGTTGCACCCTTCCCTTTGCCCTCAGAACAGCCTCAATTCGTTGGGGCATGGACTCAACAAGGTGTTGAAAGCGTTCCACAGGGATGCTGGCCCATATTGACTCCAACGCTTCCCACAGTTGTGTCAAGTTGGCTGGATGTCCTTTGGGTGGTGGATCATTCTCAGCAGCATTGCAGTTCTTGACACAAACCAGTGCGCCTGGCACCTACTACCATACCCTGTTCAAAGGCACTTACATATTTTGGCTTGCCCATTCACCCTCTGAATGGCACAAATATACAATCCATGTCTCAATTGTCTCAAGGCTTAAAAATCCTTCTTTAACCTGTCTCCTCCCCTTCATCTACACTGATTTGAAGTGGATTTAACAGGTGACCTCAATAAGGGATCAAAGCTTTCACCTGGATTTACCTGGTCATTCTATGTCATGGAAAGGGTTTTGTACATTCAGTGTATAAAACACAGAAATCTAGTTTTTGACTGCACTGGGCCTTTAAAAACAAGAAACTAACTCTCACATAATAATACATTCAGAAAAGAAAATAATGTTTCGTTTTCATCACTGTACTCACCAACTTGTTAACCCTCAACTTGGAGGAGTTGAACTTGAACACGTCTGTTTTCTTATCCAGAGGCTTTATGGCAAACTTGATCAGAAAGAAGACAAGACACAATAAAACCTCAAAGTAAGAGGTTACACAATCTGTAAAAACAGACTTGTTCCATTCAGGGTTGGGGTCAATTCCATTTAAATTCAGTCAACTCAGAAAGTAAACTGCATTGAACATTTGAATTTCTGTTTAATTCCCGCGTTGACTGGACTGAAATGGAACTGACCCCAATCCTGGTCCAATTTCAGAGGCTGTAGAAGTAACGATCCAGTACCTCTCTGTCGCTGTAGGAGATGTTGCGGATCTCATTCCAGGGGAAGGAACATTTGGGGGTCAATTTGTTGTCTGGATCGTAGATATGTAGACCCAAGGCATCCACTCCCAGCAGGAGATCAGTTCCCTTCTTGTTCTGGGGGAAACAAAAGAACAGAGTGATGAACGAAGGAAGCGAGGATGAAACAAAGAAAGTTATATAGATAGCCACACACACCCTAATGAAGAACATTTAATTCCATATTGTTTCTTTAACCAGGATAGGCCAATCAGTGACTTAGTAACACTTTCCACTATTTTCCAGGAAGTCTTGGTGAATGAGAATAGGAAACAAAGCCCTCAGCATTTACTGGATCTTTGCTTAGACACCCAGGTAAGTAGCTGTGGGACTATCAGACTTCACTCTAGTGTCTGTTTGTCTTTCTGACAGACACAATTCATTACTCTCCTTTATGCTAATAAACACCAGCTGTGATACAAAGTAGTGGTCTTTATTGACTGTTCTACACTCCAGTGTATATCTGTCTGACAGGCAGTAGTGGTAGTGGCACAGCCTGGCAACACAATTCATTAGAGAGCTGGGCAATACTGTCAAAAATCCATATTGCGATAAATTGACTAAATTGATGCGATAACGATAAATAGAATGATAAGTTTATAACATTAATGTGCACCACAGTTTGTTTTATTATCCTTTACAAACTATTACTACTAGTTTGATAGTTGTAGCCATCAATTGTCCCACTAACAATCACCCATATTAGCAAACTCATTTCATTTCAAAGGCTACTTATCATAATGAACGATATCAGCAAAATGCCTGAGATAAGTGATTGGTATGGTCGGTGTTGATCCTTTTCGGTTTATCCTCCCAGCTCTAATTCATTACTCTCTTTTATTCTGATAAATACTAGTTGTAATACAAGGTACTGTTCTTGGTTTTGTTCATCTAAGACCTTAACCTACATGAATTACTAATGTTGAGTAAGTTTGATGTGCTACTTAGAATGCCCTGGTCTTTTAGAGTAGACATTGATCACCGCAGTAGGCTATATTATGTCACTTCAAGAGAGAAACTGATTAAATGAGACATGAATATATATGTTCTATCAGTGGGTAAAATACAAAAGATCGCCAAATCAGCCAATAGATGGTATGGGCATACTCTAGAACACAACCATCCGTGTATATCATCATGACAAAGTATATATTTCGCTTAGATGTGCTCAATCTAGATAGAGTACCAAATTATTCAACTTAGTTTCTCCTTCAAGTACCATCTCGCAATACGCCCTGTGTGTCTGTGGGAAACGTGGGAAAGGGCCTTTGTTGCTATAGCAACATACTCTGCACTCGCTCTGGGCAGAGGCAAACTGCAAGTTGAACTCTGTGAGACAGACTCCTAAATTGATAGTGCAGTTTGTTTAGGTAAAAGCTAGCAACTCTGAACAAAAATATAAACGCAACATGCACCAATTTCAAAGATTTTACTGAGTTACAGTTCATATAAGGAAATCAGTCAACTGAAATAAGTTAATTAGGTCCTTAATCTATGGATTTCACATGACTGGGAATACAGATACAGAGGCTTGCGAAAGTATTCACCCCCCTTGGCATTTTTCCTATTTTGTTGCCTTACAACCTGGAATTAAAATAGATTTTTTGGGGGGTTTGTATAATTTCATTTACACAACATGCCTACCACTTTGAAGATGCAAAATATGTTTTATTGTGAAACAAACAAGAAATAAGAAAAAAAAGAACTGAAAACTTGAGCGTGCATAACTATTCACCCCCCAAAGTCAATACTTTATAGAGCCACCTTTTGCAGCAACTACAGCTGCAAGTCTCTTGGGGTATGTCTCCATAAACTTGGCACAACTAGCCACTGGGATTTCTGCCCATTCTTCAAGGCAAAACTGTTCCAGCTCCTTCAAGTTGGATGGGTTCTGCTGGTGTACAGCAATCTTTAAGTCATACCACAGATTCTCAATTGGATTGAGGTCTGGGCTTTGACTAGGCCATTCCAAGACATTTAAATGTTTCCCCTTAAACCACTCGAGTGTTGCTTAAGCAGTATGCCTTGGGTCATTGTCCTGCTGGAAGGTGAACTTCCGTCCCAGTCTCAAATCTCTGGAAGACTGAAACAGGTTTCCCTCAAGGATTTCCCTGTATTTAGCGACATCCATCATTCCTCCAATTCTGACCAGTTTCCCAGTCCCTGCCGATGAAAAACATCCCCACAGCATGATGCTGCCACCACCATGCTTCACTGTAGGGATGGTGTTCTCGGGGTGATGAGAGGTGTTGGTTTTGGTTTTGCTTAGTGGTGTTACAGACTCTGGGGCCTTTCAGAACAGGTGTATATATACTGAGATGATGTGACACTTAGAATGCACACAGGTAGACTTTATTTAACTAATTATGTGACTTCTGAAGGTAATTGGCTGCACCAGATCTTATTTAGGGGCTTCATAGCAAAGGGGGTGAATACATATGCACGCACCACTTTTCCATTATTTCTTTCTTTGAATTTTCTGAAACAAGTTATTTTTTTCATTTCACTTCACCAATTTGGACTATTTTGTGTATGTCCATTACATGAAATCCAAATAAAAATCCAATTTAAATTACAGGTTGTAATGCAACAAAATAGGAAATACTTTTGCAAGGCACTGTATACATCTGTTGGTCACAGATACCTTTAAAAAAGAAAGTAGGGGCGTGAATCAGAAAACGACTCAGAATCTGGTGTGACCACCATTTGTCTCATGCAGCACAACACTGTTGATTGCGGCCTGTGGATTGTTGTCCCACTCCTCTTCAACGGCTGTGCGAAGTTGCTGGATATTGGCGGGAACTGGAACACGATGTCATACACGTCGATCCAAAGTGTCCCAAACATGCTCAATGAGTGCCATGTCTGGTGAGTATGCAGGACATGGAAGAACTGGGACATTTTCATCTTCCAGGAATTGTGTACAGATCCTCACGACATGGGGCCGTGCATTATCATGCTGAAACATGAGGTGATGGCGGCGGATGAATAGCAGGACAATGGGCCTCAGGATCTCATCACGGTATCTCTGTGCATTCAAATTGCCGTCGACAAAATGCAATTGTGTTCATTGAACGTAGCTTATTCCTGCCCATACCATAACCCCACTGCCACCATGGGCACTCTGTTCACAACGTTGAGCAAACCGCTCGCCCACAAGTCTGCCATCTGCCCGGTACAGTTGAAATCTGGATTAATCCGTGAAGAGCACACATGTCCAGCATGCCAGTGGCCATCAAATGTAATAATCTGCCCACTGAAGTCGGTTACGTCGCCGAACTGCAGTCAGGTCAAGACCCTGGTGAGAACGACGAGCACGTAGATGAGCTTCCCTGAGAATGTTTCTGACAGTTTATGCATACATTTTTCGGTTGTGCAAACCTACAGTTTCATCAGGTGGCTGGTCTCAGACAATCCCGCAGGTGAAGAAGCCGGATGTGGAGGTCCTGGGCTAGCGTGGTTACATTTATTCTGCGGTTGTGAGGCCGGTTGGACGTAATTCTCTAAAAACGACGTTGGAGGCGTCTTACCGTAGAGAAATTAACATGAAATTATCTGGCAGGCAACAGCTCTGGTGGACATTCCTGCAGTCAGCATGCCAATTGCACGCTCCCTCAAAACTTGAGACATCTGTGGCATTGTGTTGTGTGACAAACTGCACATTTTAGAATGGCCTTTTATTGTCCTCATCACAAGGTGCACCGGTGTCATGATCATGCTGTTTAATCAGCTTCTTGATATGCCAAACCTGTCAGGTGGATGGATTATCTTGGCAAAGGAGAAACGCTCACTAACAGGGATGTAAACAAATTTTGCAAAAAATGTCTCGCTCTTTTATTCTGCTCATGAAACATTGGACCAACACTTTACATGTTGCGTTTATATTTTTGTTCAGTGTACTTCACATGCTGATAATGTCTTTGGTAGTATTGTGTGTAGCTACGTTTGCTAGCTAGCTAGACAGCCCGGAGAGAGCACTGCATTGTGGGTTTTGTAGTCGACTTGAGCTACAACAGATTTCCACAACGATTTTCACATTGCTACCAACCTTGTTATAACGACAAAATGAAACGTTTTTTCCCCCAATATCCTTTTCACATATTAGTGCTATTTAACACTGTTTAACACTGTTAATCACAGGAATTAGTGGTTTGGGGTGGATTATCCCTTTAAAGAACATAATGATGAAGTAGTAATATTGCAGTAATCAATGGTTACTTTTCATATTAGTCACTCATGACAGACCGTTAGATTTGGTTCTGGGTGCTGAGATTACTTTCATAAAGCCTAAATCAATTTCTCACTATATTAGGATCCAGATATTTTCCACTACAACCTGCTGAAGTACAAATTAATATAGGATTAAACTTTCACCTTATTTCTTCAATTACCTTTCTTCAATTACCTAGTAACATTTTGAGAGGATAATAGCTTTCTATTGGCTTACTGGTGGATGAATCATCCAGGATCATGTTTCTCATACCTTTCCATAAACTTAACTTTTCCAACATTTCTATGGGCTTATTGTATGGGCTTAACACCTCTCTCTTTGATGGGAAAGAAGCAGAAAAGGTTCTCAGTCTCACCCTGATGGGAAAGTAATTGATGCCGTACATCTCCAGGTCCTGAGCTATTTTTAAGTACTCCATCTCAGCATCTTCCCTGGGTCAGGAGAAGAGAAGATGAGATCAGAACATCATGTGTCAAGAGAGAGCGAGAGAGAGAGAGACACCTCTTTCTAACTCATGCATAATTATGTGTATTAGAGTGGTGGTTCCCAACAGTCCTCGAGTTCCCCCAACAGTACACATTTTTACTGTAGCCCCGGACAAGCACACCTGATTCAACATCAGCAGGGGGTTTCACACTAACGTAGAGTGTAATTCCCTGAATGCACTTGAGAGGTCACGCGCTGTGGTTTAGGCAGATAAACTAATTCTGCTGCAGCCTCAAACAGCCAGTTACATTGTAATCTAGTGATGAAAGTAAATTTAAGCAGTTTTCTTTTTTCTCTTTCTAGGTTGTCAGATCGGACTCTTCTTCTGGGTCATCTCCAGTTAGAAACAACATTTGCATACTTTGACAAAAACCACGACGTTGACGCTCGTTTCACTTTTATCTGATGTTCTTTTGATGTGGCTGGCAAACAAAAGCAAGAGGGTAGATCCACAAGTTTGCTCTTATGCGCGCCTTCTTTGGTGTTAGCCCGAGTACATAGGCCTAACTCTAAACAACGGAGGAAAAAACTCCTATACATAAGCACTGAGAACTGTCCGAGAATCAATGAAGACAGACACCTTATCCCTAGACAGGTATATGACATTGCAGTTTTACCTTGTCCTCCCTCTATGCTCAGCATAACAAGCAGTGATTCTCTCCTCCCACATCTCTGCTGTCATTTGGTACAGGTTGATCACCTAAAAAACAGAGGATACGTAGTCAAAACAATCACTCAAATGTTTTATGCAAAATGTATGCGAGACAATAATGAAAACATGCCTTTGTCCATGTGTTCCATGAAATCCAAGGAACACTTTATTACCGTCATTGATAATGTCCTTAACATTTCTGGCAGAAATGAAAACTACTAGGTTACTACGGTGGTGCTTATGCATTGCAGCTAAAAGAATAATGGCAGTCACTCACCCTCTTTGGTAGGAGTTCCTCTTGAGCAAGAAAGCCTGGTTTGTGGACATTGGGGTCATAGTCTCCATACTGCAAAGTCAAGAGAGAAAAAGCAGTTAAAAGGTAATGGTCAGGCCAGGATAACAGCCAATAGAGATAATATGATAGTATATTTCTATCCTTTTATGAAGTTTATGATTAAGATAAGTATTAAGTATTAAAATGAGAGATGAAGGAATCGGTCAAAATGAACAGGGTCAGTCTTCCATCAACACACAGACTAATTTACTTGCAGCTCACACACACACACACACACACACAAACAAACAGCTCCCTGGTTGTCAGGAAATTGTGTCATTACATGTCATTAAGATATGGCTCAGAAATTATTGAGAGGAATAACAATGGACGAGAGAAGAAGGGAATGTCAAATACCATCAGTGGTGGTATCAAAATGATTCACTGACACAGAAATTACCTCCCCCTGGGCTAGGGAAAACTGTGGTAGTTCCTTTGTGTGTGTGTGTGTGTGTGTGTGTGTGTGTGTGTGTGTGTGTGTGTGTGTGTGTGTGTGTGTGTGTGTATGTGTGTATGTGTGTGTGTGTGTGTGTGTGTGTGTGTGTGTGCGTGTGTGTGCGTGTGTGTGTGTGTGCGTGTGTCACACACATTCAAGTCTGTAATCTCTCTACAGACCAGAGGCTACAAACAATAACTAGTTGGATGGAAGAGAATAGTATTGTGTGAGGGCAGCAGTCAACATCAGTAACATCTTTGCTGTCTTGCCAGTCCACTCTCTGGAAGTTTCTCTGACAGCCAAACACGTAAGCTGACATGGGACTGCTGGCCAGAGAAAAGGCCTGCACTCGCAATTCTACGTCTTAACTACTCAGACAGACAGGTAGACAGACAGGGAGACAGACAGGGAGAGAGTTTCAGGACTGGTACAAAAGGCCAAAGGAAATGGGTCTAAAATTAGTGTAAGGACCAGAAACTGATGAGACCTGATGATAACAGCTACCACCAACCATTTAGCTTTCATCAGTCGGAACTGAATGTGAGTTTATACTTGGTAACTAGGGAATCATGCTTAATGGCAAATTCATCATCATTCGGAAAAGGACACAGGAGTAGTTTTGAAAGTGTGTTGGATGTTTTGGATACTATTGGTTGTTGTAGTTGAATGGAAGGTGTGTTGTTACTGTATTTCAATTCTTAACCTTGAATTGCATGAACCTAATCAAGACATCAAGACATTAAATCGACAAGAATCCCTTTACTAAGATGAGGTGACAATACGCCAATTTAAATCATCGATGTCAGCTGCCAGAGCAGCAATGCAGACTAGTAATAACTGGTCGATCGTATCTCAGACCAACTCTCTGTATTGTATTCTATTAACACAGTGGGGTTACAATGCAGGCTGCTTGGTGTGTCACACACACTCTCTATACTCCACTAGCTACCCCTCTCCTCTCCTTCTGCTACCCCTGCTCTCCCTACAGCCATTGAGTGTACGCCTGGCCAGGTAACTCCCTGCGTTTTATGAAGCAGCTGTTGCTTGAAAATTCCCTGTCAACATTTCTCTGGTGCGAGGTGCCCTGCAGAATACCAAACAGCAAACACGAGTCTATCCTGCACCGCCTAGCAGAATGAGATACATTAGCCTACACACATATACACACACACGTGCATGCACATACACACCAATAAATACACACACACACACCTTCTGCTTCCTCTAATCCCTTTATCAGTCTGCCCACCTTCAATCTCTCTCCATCTCTTGCATGTCAATTAAGCTTTCCACTGCTTATGATGTTCAGTGGTATCTGCTGTCATTGAAATCAGATTACAGATCTTAAATCTGTAAGTCTGTACGATTGCCCTTATCTCAACCTGCCTATAGGCTAAATCATGCCAGTTAGAATCACTCGTCTTTTCCCCACTCACTTCGCCTTCATTTTCTTTATAGAGAACATCTCATTCCACACACACACAAGTGATGGGGGAGGGGAAATCGATGTAGTTACATATCTCAATATTATTATTATTATCGATTTGTACAAAATTATAATAATAAACAATGTTTGTTTTTTGCTAGGTAGCGTTAGCTAGCGCTAGTCAGCGATACCTGTGCCAAAACCCATGTATTTTTAATCCTATAGCTTGTTCTCCATCTTTAAAAAAAATTGTGAGCCAACATGTTTTCTGCATTTTTATTTCCATGACTGATCAAAACTAATTTTCTAATTCTCTCTCGTCTCTCTGCAGCAGCATATAGTCAGCAATATGTTTGGAACATCAAATTGCAATACATATAGAATCACAATACATTTCGTTTTGGCACCTAAGTATCGTGATAATATCGTATCGAAAGATCCCTGTCAATTCCCAGCCCTAACACACACACACACACACACACACACACACACACACACACACACATACGACTGCTCAATAGCTATCTAAATAGCTAACAAAATGGCTACACTTTCACCCTTATATTTTATTCTCTATGCACACGCACAGGGCCCTACACACTTACGCACACTGCTACTCTGTTTATCATACAGTGGGGAAAAAAAGTATTTAGTCAGCCACCAATTGTGCAAGTTCTCCCACTTAAAAAGATGAGAGAGGCCTGTCATTTTCATCATAGGTACACGTCAACTATGACAGACAAAATGAGGAAAAAAAATCCAGAAAAACACATTGTAGGATTTTTTATGAATTTATTTGCAAATTATGGTGGAAAAAAAGTATTTGGTCAATAACAAAAGTTTCTCAATACTTTGTTATATACCCTTTGTTGGCAATGACACAGGTCAAACGTTTTCTGTAATTCTTCACAAGGTTTTCACACACTGTTGCTGGTATTTTGGCCCATTCCTCCATGCAGATCTCCTCTAGAGCAGTGATGTTTTGGGGCTGTCACTGGGCAACACGGACTTTCAACTCCCTCCAAAGATTTTCTATGGGGTTGAGATCTGGAGACTGGCTAGGCCACTCCAGGACCTTGAAATGCTTCTTACGAAGCCACTCCTTTGTTGCCCGGGCGGTGTGTTTGGGATCATTGTCATGCTGAAAGACCCAGCCACGTTTCATCTTCAATGCCCTTGCTGATGGAAGGAGGTTTTCACTCAAAATCTCACGATACATGGCCCCATTCATTCTTTCCTTTACACGGATCAGTCGTCCTGGTCCCTTTGCAGAAAAACAGCCCCAAAGCATGATGTTTCCACCCCCACAGTAGGTATGGTGTTCTTTGGATGCAACTCAGCATTCTTTGTCCTCCAAACACGACGAGTTGAGTTTTTACCAAAAAGTTATATTTTGGTTTCATCTGACCATATGACATTCTCCCAATCCTCTTCTGGATCATCCAAATGCACTCTAGCAAACTTCAGACGGGCCTGGACATGTACTGGCTTAAGCAGGGGGACACGTTTTGCACTGCAGGATTTGAGTCCCTGGCGGCGTAGTGTGTTACTGATGGTAGGCTTTGTTACTTTGGTCCCAGCTCTCTGCAGGTCATTCACTAGGTCCCCCCGTGTGGTTCTGGGATTTTTGCTCACCGTTCTTGTGATCATTTTGACCCCACGGGGTGAGATCTTGCGTGGAGCCCCAGATCGAGGGAGATTATCAGTGGTCTTGTATGTCTTCCATTTCCTAATAATTGCTCCCACAGTTGATTTCTTCAAACCAAGCTGCTTACCTATTGCAGATTCAGTCTTCCCAGCCTGGTGCAGGTCTACAATTTTGTTTCTGGTGTCCTTTGACAGCTCTTTGGTCTTGGCCATAGTGGAGTTTGGAGTGTGACTGTTTGAGGTTGTGGACAGGTGTCTTTTATACTGATAACAAGTTCAAACAGGTGCCATTAATACAGGTAACGAATGGAGGACAAAGGAGCCTCTTAAAGAAGAAGTTACAGGTCTGTGAGAGCCAGAAATCTTGCTTGTTTGTAGGTGACCAAATACATATTTTCCACCATAATTTGCAAATAAATTCATTACAAATCCTACAATTTTCTCATTTTGTCTGTCATAGTTGACGTGTACCTATGATGAAAATTACAGGCCTCTCTCATCTTTTTAAGTGGGAGAACTTGCACAATTGGTGGCTGACTAAATACTTTTTTTCCCCCACTGTATATCCTGATGCCTAGTCACCTTACCCTATACATATCTACCTCTATCGATCCAGTATCACTGCACATTGTAAATATGGTACTGGAACCGACTCTGTATATACACTGAACAAAAATATAAATGCAACATGTAAAATGTTGGTCCCATGTTTCATGAGCTGAAATAAAAGATCCCAGAAATGTTCCATTCTCACAAAAAGCTTATTTCTCTCAAATGTTGTGCACAAATTCGTTTACATCCCTGTTAGTGAGCATTTCTCATTTGCCAAGATAATCCATCCACCTGAAAGGTGTGGCATATCAAGAAGCTGATTAAACAGCATGATCATTACACAGGTGCACCTTGTGCTGGGGACAATAAAAGGCCACTCTAAAATGTGCATTTCTGTCACACAACATAATGCCACAGGTTTTGAGGGAGCGTGCAATTGGCATGCTGACTGCAGGAATGTCCACCAGAGCTGTTGCCAGATAAGTTTATGTTCATTTCTCTACCATAAGCTGCCTCCAATGTCGTTTTAGAGAATTTGGCAGTACGTCCAACCGGCCTCACAACCGCAGATGTATGTGGGAACTCCTTCAAGACTGTTGGAAAAGTATTCCATGTGAAGCTGGTTGAGAGAATGCCAAGAGTGTGCAAAGCTGTCATCTCGTAACCGACTTCAGTGGGCAAATGCTCACCTTCGATGGTCCACTGGCACGCTGGAGAAGTGTGCTCTTCACGGATGAATACCGGTTTCAACTGTACCGGGCAGATGGCAGACAGCATGTATGGCGTCGTGTGGGCGAGCGGTTTGCTGATGCCAACGTTGTGAACATAGTGCCCCATGGTGGCGGTGGGGTTATGGTATGGGCAGGCATAAGCTACGGACAATGAACACAATTGCATTTCATCGATGGCAATTTTAATGCACAGAGATACCGTGACGAGATCCTGAGGCCCATTGTCGTGCCATTCATCCACCGCCATCACCTCATGTTTCAGCATGATAATGCACGGCCCCATGTCAAAAGGATCTGTACACAATTCCTGGAAGCTGAAAATGTCCCAGTTCTTCCATGGCCTGCATACTCACCAGACATGTCACCCATTGAGCATGTTTGGTATGCTCTGGATCGACGTGTACGACAGCGTGTTCCAGTTCCCACCAATATATAGCAACTTTACACAGCCATTGAAGAGGAGTGGGACAACATTCCACAGGCCACAATCAACAGCCTGAACTCTATGTGAAGGAGATTTGTCGCGCTGCATGAGGCAAATGGTGGTCACACCAGATACTGACTGGTTTCTGATCCACGCCCCAACCTTGTTTTTTTTAAGGTACCTGTGACCAACAGATCTGTATTCCCAGTGATGTGAAATCCATAGATTAGGGCCTAATGAATTCATTTCAGTTGACTTATTTTCTTATATGAACTGTAACTTGAAATTGTTGCATGTTGTGTTTATATTTTTGTTCAGTATAGTATGCTTACTTACTTTATCGTGTTCTTCTTATTTCTATGTCTTGTGTGTTTTTGTTCTACCTTGTTATTTTTTGTATTACATTGTTGATTATTTCATTGTTGGGGTTAGAGCTAGCAAGAAAGACATTTCACTGTACTTGTGCATGTGACATTAAAACTTGAAACATCAACTCCCTTTCTTTCGATCTCCTCTGCCCTTCACATAGTCCGTTAGATACAACGTGAGGTCCCAACATAGCCCGATATCTCAGTATATCTATCTTTTCCTACACAAAAACAACCCAGGTGGACAGAGAGAATGGAGAAAGGTCACCCTGCCACCAATCTCTCACTAACCTATAACAACCTCCCATTATGTGAAGTCAAGTTAAGCAGATCAATTCAAAGATAATCAAAGCGGACTGCTGATACACTGAGAGCATGTTCCCGTTTCTGCCGTGTCTAGTTCAAATGATCTGACAGGAGAGGAGAGGAGAGGAGAGCCGGCCTGATGTGATTTGTGTATAAGACGTGATGTGTCCCAAATGGCACCCTATTCCAAATATAGTGTACTACTTTTGACCAGAGACATATGGCCCTGGTCAAAGGTACTGCACTATAAAGGGAATCTGGTGCAAATTGGGATTCAGGCATGGTCAACGGTTGTCCTCTTTGGGGGAATCTGGAGACAGACAGGTTTGGAGTGATGCAATCCTTCAGCAGAATGGTGAGAGGAAGTGGGGATGTTCATTTGGAGAGTCTTTATTTTGCAAATGACAAACCAAGGCTTCCTGTCTGGAGTTTCATTGAGCTTGGCCCTGTATTTTTCATTTACATTTTACATTTTAGTCATTTAGCAGACGCTCTTATCCTGAGCGACTTACAGTTACTGAGTGCATACATTTTTCATACTGGCCCCCCGTGGGAATCGAACCCACAACCCTGGCGTTGCAAACGCCATGCTCTACCAACTGAGCTACAAAGGGCTTTCAATTATAGATGGATGGATGGATGGATGGATGGATGGATGGATGGATGGATGGATGGATGGATGGATGGATGGATGGATGGATGGATGGATGGATGGATGGATGGATGGATGGATGGACGGACTGACTGACTGACAGATGGACGGGTGAGTGAATGGAATGGACAGATGGATGTGTGGACAGACAGGTTTATTGATTGTAAGAGGAGAGAACAGAGTTCCAGTGATACAGACCTTGGCCTGGACGGCATAGGAGGCCAGCAGCACCGAGGCTTCAGGAGGGCAGTATATCTCCTCTTCCAGGATCTTATTCTTTACCTGAATGGAAACAAAAAAAGAGATTGACAAAATCGGACCTACACTGTAAAAAAGAACTCTTTGGATGAACCAAAAAACAATTACTTCAACTGGTTACCAGTAAATTGAAAAATATTACATTTATTGAAACAAAATATATGATTCAACGCCAACTGTTTTATTTGATTATTACAAAAGCTGTATTTCAAGTTGCAACATACTTATTTCAACACAACTTACTTTTCCTCTTTGGTTAAACCTGATAAATAACAAATACAAACTAATATTTTATGTAAATACAATGCATTCGGAAAGTATTCAGACCCCTTAACTTTTTCCACATTTTGTTACGTTACAACCTTATTCTAAAATTGATTAAATTGTTTTTTTCCTCATCAATCTACACACAATATCGCATAACGACAAAGGAAAAACAGGTTTTTAGAAATTTTTGCAAATGTATTAAAAATAATGATGGAGGCCAATGTGTTTTGGGGGACCTTCAATGCTGCATAACTTTTTTGATAACCTTCCCCAGATCTGTGCCTCGACACAATCCTCTCTGAGCTCTACGGACAATTCCTTCGACCTCATGGCTTGGTTTTTGCTCTGACATGCACTGTCAACTGTGGAACCTTATATAGACAGGTGTGTGCCTTTCCAAATCATGTCCAATCAATTGAATTTACCACAGGTGGACTCCAATCAAGTTGTAGAAACATCTCAAGGATGGAAACAGGATGCACCTGAGCTCAATTTCGAGTCTCATAGCAAAGAGTCTGAATACTTATGTAAATAAGGAATTTCTGTTTTATAGTTTTTATAGATTTGCAAACATTTCTAAAAACCTGTTTTCCACATTATGGGCTATTGTGTGTAGATTGATGAGGAATGTGATTTATTTAATCCATTTTAGAATAAGGCTGTAACGTAACAAAATGTGTGTCACGAACGTTGAGAGACGGGTCAGACCAAGGTGCAGCGTGAAAAGCGTACATGTTTATTAAACTCAATAAACATAAACAAAACAAGAAACAACGTAAAGTGAAGTCCTCAGGCTATACACATACAAGCCTAACACGGAACATAAACAAGATCCCACAACCCAGGCAGGAAAACTGGCGGCCTAAGTATGATCCCCAATTAGAGACAACGAGCGACAGCTGCCTCTGATTGGGAACCACACCCGGCCAAACATAGAAATACAAATACTAGAATGTCCACATAGAAATTCCCACATCAAATATTCACACCCTGACTCACCAACTAGCCAACTCTATGTCAGGGTGTGACAATGTGGAAAAAGTAAAGGGGTCTGAATACTTTCCGAATGCACTGTACAACCCAGCTCACTTTTTAATTTAGAAATACTTATGCAAATGTATTAAATAGTGTTACAAGCAATTCAATAACTTCCCTGTTAACCAAGACATTTAATTGGTTCAAAAATATTTTCTTTACACAAGACTTTTGCATGTAAAAGCCACAATATTATAACCAAGCATAGGATACATTAACATAGAAAGCTTATCAGGCTCTTTTGTAACACTTGCACTTATTTAAGTATCACTACAGATGCTGGCAGTGTACAAGTTTACATTTGATTATACCACAGCATTGTTGAATACTCATATCTGATTGGCTAGAAGGGCATTCTAGAATGGACATTAAAACCAGATAACGAACGACTGGGTCTGTAAATATCAAACTAATCGAATGAACGACTGGGTCGCATCTCCAGCAACCAGAAGATGATAAATTATTTATTTGCTTATAAAAATTTAAATATCAACAAGAAATAATATTTATACCGGTAAATGTGTGCTTTCATATTGTTTTCTTTGGCAACTGTGGTATAAGCAGGATAAACACCTCCGTTCTGTACATTAACTTGGAAATAATCATCCATTATTTCTAAGGTAATATAGAACGTCTGCATTTTATTCACTCTCACGGGTGGCCAAAACTAACAAACTGAAAGCCACGCACCCAATAAACTACGCCGCCAACTCTTCGGATAAAAAGCAACCTTGTCCTAGAGAAATGTACACTGTTATCAAAATGTCACGCAAGGGTAAGCCTACACGGAACACAGCCCTTATTTTAAGTGTTTCTAAAAAAAATAATGGGAAAAGTGAATGGTGGAAAAACAATTGGAACCATTTCCCTGGATAAGAGAAGGACGGTATGACAATATGAAAATCTGGATACCACCCAAGCCTAATTCAGACACACTGAATAGAATATGTTGAACAAACCAAAGTGTACATTTTAATCATTCCAATCAGTAAAAGCACTTCAGATTAACAACAGCGTTGTCCCACTTTTTACAGTGTAATAATGTCCCTATAAGCCTACACCAACTTGGGTAGAACTTTTTGGGCTCCACTCTGCTCTCCCCCACATTCCTATTCCTCGATTGAATATGTCAACACTGGAACAAAGGAACCATTGATTCATTTGACCATTCTTTTGTCAGATAAGTGATTGAGAAAATAAAAACTATTTTAGCAGTAGTTAACAAACTTTTATAGTAGTTTTCCATGAAGGCATATAGTATGTCATGCACAGATGGTGCTCAGGCTGGGGATGTGAATCTCTTTGTTGCTTTACAGCAGTCATCCAATTTGACGTTAGTACCGAGAAAACATAATTAAAACATTTTGCCATATGGGTTTGACTGTGTCTGAAATTCCGTTTGATGTTTTTCACACAGCTTAGCTATCACTGCTACATGGATGAGTTCAAAGTTGTTTGAAAGTAAGACGTCAGCAACATAGCCATTTGGACTGCGAGCACAAGCCAACTTTCAGGCTCTGGTCAAAAGTAGTGCACTTTAAAGGGGAATAGGCTGCCATTTGGGACGCAAACAGAGAGACAGGGAGGTTGATGGCTTCTCATAAACAGTAATCCGGCTGTCAGTCATGCTTACGACACTATCTGAACATGGGAGAAGGGGGAGCCGTGCTCCCACATCATGGGAATTCATGAGAGTAATACGGAGACAAGCTTTTACAAGCGTTTAGTCTTTTGAATTCTTGTCCCTTTCCTTTTTGCAGCATCCATTTTAAATGGATGTTGTTGTTGTTCTTCATTTGTCTCCTGGATGTTAGGCTATACGGCACGGGCATCTAAATCGTTTTCTTTGTGGCAGGTGAGTTCTCTCTTTAAAACCTCAACAACTCCTTGGCTAAATGCTTTAGAACAGATTAAGGACTGAACATGTTTTACTCACATCCATCCGAGATACAGTAAGTACCTACCTGCATTCCAATACTGAGGACGGAGAGATAAGAAATATAAATAAACAAATTGTTGTCTTTAGCCGTGTAACAAATCCAGCACAATGGACAGGAGTATTTCTTTCTTTCTTTGAAATTTTGCAGGATGAAAGCTGTTGAGATGCACCATCTCGTTTCTGAAGAGGGTACAAAGGATATAATGAGACTGACTGCTACAGGGACAACGAATCCCAGGAGACCAAGTCATTAAGTGGGCCATTGACCAGAGCTCTTAAAGGCCCAATGCAGCCATTTTTTCTCTCAATATCAAATCATTTCTGGGTAGAAGTTAAGTACCTTACTGTGATTTCTTTCAATTAAAATAGTCAAAAAGAAACTAAAATAGCTTCTTTGCAAAGAGCAATGTCTCAAGCAAGAATTTTGCTAGGACTGTCAGGGAGTGATCTGAGTGGGGAGGGGAAAACTGAAAACAAACTGTTATTGGCAGAGAGGTTTGGAACTCTCTTTCCTATTGGTCTATTAACTAATTAACCACCTGGTGATGTCACCAAGCAGGCCAAAACTCCATCCCACCAAAACAGGCTGAAATTTCAGGCAGTCTTTTCAAACAGCTCTTACACTAAAAGGGCAGTATCATCATTTTCACAATTTCACAGTATTATTCCAACCACATACTGTGGAAATATACAGCGCATTCGGAAAGTATTCAGACCCCTTGACTTTTTCCACATTTTCTTACGTTACAGCCTTATTCTAAAACTGATTAAATAATTGTTTTTCCTCATCAATCTACACACAACACCCCATCATGACAAAGCGAAAACAGTTTGCAGACATTTTTGCAAATGTATTAAAAAATAAAGAACAGAAATAGCTTATTTACATAAGTATTCAGACCCTTTGCTATGAGACTCGAAATTGAGCTCAGGTGCATCCTGTTTATATTGATCATCCTTGAGATGTTTCTACAACTTGATTGGAGTCCACCTGTGGAAATTTCAATTGATTGGACATGATTTGGAAAGGCACACACCTGTCTATATAAGGTCCCACAGTTGACAGTGCATGTCAGAGCAAAAACAAAGCCATGAGGTCGAAGGAATTGTCCGTAGAGCTCAAAGACAGGATTGTGTCGAGGCACAGATCTGGGGAAGGGTACCATAAAATGTCTGCAGCACTGAAGGTCCCCAAGAACACAGTGGCCTCTATCATTCTTAAATGGAAGAAGTTTGGAACCACCAAGACTCTTCCTAGAGCTGGCAGCCCAGCCAAACGGAGCAATTGGGGGAGAAGGGCCTTGGTCAGGGAGGTGACCAAGAACCAGATCGTCACTCTGAAAGAGCTCCAGAGTTTCTCTGTAGAAATGGGAGAACCTTCCAGAAGGACAACCATCTCTGCAGCACTCCACCAATCAGGCATTTATGGTAGTGGCCAGACGGAAGCCACTCCTCAGTAAAAGGCACATAACAGCCCGCTTGGAGTTTGCCTAAAGGCACCTAAAGGATTATTTTGCCTGATGAAACCAATATTGAACTCTTTGGCCTGAAGCATTATGTCTGGAGGAAACCTGGCACCATCCCTATGGTGAAGCATGGTGGTGGCAGCATCATGCTGTGGGGATGTTTTTCAGCGGCTGGGACTGGGAGACTAGTCAAGATCGAGGGAAAGATGAACGGAGAAAAGTACAGAGAGATCCTTGATAAAAACCTGCTCCAGAGCGCTCAGGACCTCAAACTGGGGCAAAGGTTCACCTTCCAACAGGACAACGACCCTAAGCACACAGCCAAGACAACGCAGAAGTGGCTTCAGGACAAGTCTCTGAATGTCCTTGAGTGGCCCAGCCAGAGCCCAGACTTGAACCCGATCGAACATCTCTGTAGAGACTGCAGCGACCCTCCCCATCCAACCTGACAGAGCTTGAGAGGATCTGCAGAGAAGAATGGGAGAAACTCCCCAAATACAGGTGTGCCAACCTTGTAGCGTCATACCCAAGAAGACTTGAGGCTGTAATCACTGCCAAAGGTGCTTCAACAAATTACTGAGTAAAGGGTCTGAATACTTATGTAAATGTCATATTTACATTTTACATTTTAGTCATTTAGCAGACGCTCTTATCCAGAGCGACTTACAGTTAGTGAGTGCATACATTTTCATACTGGCCCCCCGTGGGAATCGAACCCACAACCCTGGCGTTGCAAATGCTATGCTCTACCAACTGAGCTACACGGGACACGGGACATATATTTCAGTTTTATATTTTTAATACATTAGCAAAAATGTTGCTGTATGGGGTATTGTGTATAGATTGATGAGGGGAAAAAACTATTTAATCCATTTTAGAATAAGGCGGTAACGTAAAAAAAATGTGGAAAAAGTCAAGGGATCTGAATACTTTCCGAACGCACTGTATATAAAACTCAGGAAATCCCATGTTTTTGACTGCACTGGGCCTTTAAACCTAATTGGTAATTGATAAATGCGGTTAGGTGAATTGGACAGCAGGGAGACCATTGTAACAAATCTCATCTGGCGTGAGGGGATAAGGGAATTGGAGTTATGTCCCAAATGGCACACTATTCCCTATGTAGTGCACTACTTTTGACCAGGGCCCATAGTACTCTGGTCAAAAGTAGAGCACTACATCGGGAATAGGGTGCCATTGAGGTTGAATCCAGTGTGTCAGTACTGGGAAGGAATTCCCCCCAAAGTATTAGGGCAGGGGAGAAAGGCCACTGTTAAAATGCAGCACATTGATTCCACATGGCTGAATACAATCAGAGAGGGACAATGGGAAAGTGTATTACTGAGAGTGTTCTGGACTGAGAGGGCTTTGGCTCTGGTGCTCACTAACTATAGCAGTCAAAGAAACTAGATGTGAAAGTTTGCCCTCTATTGGCAGTCTGCCTGAAGAGACCCGTGATATAACTTCAGAGAACAGTAATGTAGCTGTAGGTGTATTATATTGCCCATTTCAATGGGATAACTGGTCAAGTAAGTACATGAGCGCACATAACCATGAATATAGTGGAGTATTATTACATTGATGGGCTAAGTGCCTAAAGAGCTAAATGTCTGTGCATAGTGTTTCAAGATCTTTAATATGACTGTATGATTCTCACTGAAACATTTGAGAGCTTTCTATAAGTTAACTGACCAAAATTCACCTAGGTATTTCTGAGATGATTAAAAAATAATTTCTAACCTCTTAAAACTTTCTTGAAAGCAGCTAGCAAGGCGAGGCAAGCCTCTGGAAAGATTGCCAACACATACAAAATCATCACTATCTGTCCACTGCCGAGACAGACAGTAACCTATTAGCATGTTCTGAGAGGCATGTCAGATTTGAAGTTTACATGCAGGACTTGGAAGAAGAAGTGTGTGTCCCAAATGGCACCCTATTCCTTGTTTAGTGCACTACTTTATAGCAGTGTCTTGATAGGTATCAGATGAGAATCCAAAACAGATTTTCTTAAGAGGTGGTCCGAAAGGGAAAAAGACATGCTTGTTCAAAGGTCCTAGATTGAAAGTTTTGAAAATGAGAGGCTTTCATAATGTATCTCCAAAACGATTAATGATAAGATGCCAACCAGTGAAAATTACAATGACTAGAGCTACTTTCTTGGTGGCCAACTCCCATTTAAAAAATAGCCAGGAGTCTTTACAGTGAAAAATATGGATTGAGTTGATGAGAAATAATGAGTGTGCCATGCATAGTCACCTGTAGGAAGAAGAGATGCTGAGTGACGTCCTGAACCAACTCCTCCTCTGCATTCTCAGGGTAAAACTTGGCCAGGAAATTAAGGGTGATTGGTTCCTCCTTGGACACATCTTGGTCCAAAACCTGCAACAGAGACCAAAACAACATGGACAACTCAATTAGTCAGACAGTTTCTTGCCAGGCTCCTGACATCCCTAGAAGATGGTGAAGAAGAGTACATCTCGATTCAACTCACAGTGTTCACAAACAATGTAAGGGACACCGAGTACCAACCAGCACATCAATCTACTCAGTGGTAGATTTCAGTGGGTCCGTCTGTTGCTGAGATTTACCTTCTTGTCCATCTTGATCCAGGCTACAGTCTCTTTGACATCATACTGGAACCCGAAGAACCACGTCTCTCTCAGTCCCAGAGCCCGGCACACCAGATCAAAAAGATCCTTTCCCTTCCATTTGACCTGAAAAACAGGATAGCAGCATGAATTGACATTAGGGTAAATATGGGAACAGTCTCATGATGTGGGTGGAGTGAATGATTGACAGAGCAAATAGCATCTGCAGAGGGCAGAAACTGTATGAAATAAGGCAGAGGGTAAGAGAAGTCATAATAGTCGTGATGAGAGTCATGAGAGGCGAGAAATCCCTTTGCTCAGGCTGGACATAGACAGTTCATCTTTCATAAGCTCAGTTCAAGGCAGGGGGCCGCTAAGTCTTTCTATATCTCATTCAGATCAAAGCTCTGAGAAGCATATCAGATGCACATTCATGCTCAAATAAAAAAGCTTTAATATCAGACTGTTTAACTTTAAAGTGCACCAATAGAACTTTAACAGTACACTAAGCAAGAGAGAAAGAAAAGTGCCCAGGATATCAGCTCAATAGGAGAATGAAATGAAGGTCAATTGAAGAACAGTCAAGGTCAATTTAATAATGCACTTCAAAGACCCTGCACCTAAAATGGCAAACACTCAATAATTACTATTTACCAAGCATATAATTTCTAAAATTATCATCCAGGCACAGACAGTAATCTGAGCAAACCTGCAATTGACATTCTGCCGGTCTGTGTAATTACCAATTTTCAACAGTGGTAGCGTCCAGTCTCCCTCCCCTGTTAAGTACTGATGGCCTTTCCAAGTTATTATTATGATGCATTCTTTGCATAGCCTAAGGCCCTAGGCAATGTTAAGTTGACTACAGTGGCTGAAAGGCAAAGGACTAAAAGTCATCTAGGCCTATTCTATACTGTACATCTGCACAGGTATTAGCCTAAAGCCTATCATTTCTTCTTTAGTTGGATTCGAGAACACCATCTACATTTCATTACCCTCTTTTGCTGCTTCAGTATTGTATTGAAGTGACCTTAAAAAGAGCAACACATAGGTAAGACATCTGTCTGCATTCTGTTGTTTCCTCTTGAGCCTAATATGAAGAAAATATATTTTAGATTTTACACTGTGAATGATTCCTGTAAGGTGCATGAGTCACACTTCTCCAGAAGCAGACATTTATACTGTAGATACTCACTACCTTGTGGTAAAGTGCATGACATGGTTATTGTTTTTCAATTACATCGCCTACTTAGTTATTACTATTACACAGGTGGTTTCAAATGATGTAGTTACTGTAGCCCAGTGTTTCCCAACTCCAGTCCTCGAGTACCCACAACAGCACACATTTTAGTTGTAACCCAAGACAAACTCACCTGATTCAACTCAATAAGGGCTTGATTATTAGTTGACAAGTTGAATCAGGTGTGCTTGTCCGGACTGGAGTTGAAAAACAATGCTGTAGTCTATAAGGTCAAAGTAAAACAGAAGTGTCATATTGAATAAGGCACAGATTAAACTGACTGACACCTGTAGATTCTGCCGGTGTCCCAAATGGCACCCTATTCTTTACAGTGAGGGAAAAAAAGTATTTGATCCCCTGCTGATTTGGTACGTTTGCCCACTGACAAAGAAATGATCAGTCTATAATTTTAATGGTAGGTTTATTTGAACAGTGAGAGGCAGAATAACAACAAAATAATCCAGAAAAACGCATGTCAAAAATGTTATAAATTGATTTTCATTTTAATGAGCGAAATAAGTATTTGACCCCCTCTCAATCAGAAAGATTTCTGGCTCCCAGGTGTCTTTTATACAGGTAAAAAGTTGAGATTAGGAGCACACTCTTAAAGGGAGTACTCCTAATCTCAGCTTGTTACCTGTATAAAAGACACCTGTCCACAGAAGCAATCAATCAATCAGATTCCAAACTCTCCACCATGGCCAAGACCAAAGAGCTCTCCAAGGATGTTAGGGACAAGATTGTAGACCTACACAAGGCTGGAATGGACTACAAGACCATCACCAAGCAGCTTGGTGAGAAGGTGACAACAGTTAGTGTGATTATTCGCAAATGGAAGAAACACAAAAGAACTGTCAATCTCCCTCGGCCTGGGGCTCCATGCAAGATCTCACCTCATGGAGTTGCAATGATCATGAGAACGGTGAGGAATCAGCCCAGAACTACACGAGAGGATCTTGTCAATGATCTCAAGGCAGCTGGGACCATCGTCACCAATAAAACAATTGGTAACACACTAAGCCATAAAGGACTGAAATTCTGCAGCGCCCGCAAGGTCCCCCTGCTCAAGAAAGCACATATACAGGGCCGTCTGAAGTTTGCCAATGAACATCTGAATGATTCAGATGAGAACTGGGTGAATGTGTTGTGGTCAGATGAGACCAAAATCGAGCTCTTTGGCATCAACTCAACTCGCCGTGTTTGGAGGAGGAGGAATGCTGCCTATGACCCCAAGAACACCATCCCCACCATCAAACATGGAGGTGGAAACATTATGCTTTGGGGACAGGACAACTTCACCGCGTCAAAGGGACGATGGACGGGGCCATGTACCGTCAAATCTTGGGTGAGAACCTCCTTCCCTCAGCCAGGGCATTGAAAATGGGTCGTGGATGGTTATTCCAGCATGACAATGACCCAAAACACACGTCCAAGGCAACAAAGAAGTGGCTCAAGAAGCAGAACATTAAGGCCCTGGAGTGGCCTAGCCAGTCTCCAGACCTTAATCCCATACAAAATATGTGGAGGGAGCTGAAGGTTCGCGTTGCCAAACGTCAGCCTCGAAACCTTAATGACTTGGAGAAGATCTGCAAAGAGGAGTGGAACAAAATCCCTCCTGAGATGTGTGCAAACCTGGTGGCCAACTACAAGAAACATCTGACCTCTGTGATTGCCAACAAGGGTTTTGCCACCAAGTACTAAGTCATGTTTTGCAGAGGGATCAAATACTTATTTCCCTCATTAAAATGCAAATCAATTTATAACAGTTTTGACATGCGTTTTTCTGGATTTTTTGTTGTTGTTATTCTGTCTCTCACTGTTCAAATAAACCTACCATTAAAATTATAGACTGATCATGTCTTTGTCAGTGGGCAAACGTACAAAATCAGCAGGGGATCAAATACTTTTTTCCCTCACTGTATGTAGTGTGCTACTTTTGACCAGGACCCATCTGATCAAAAATAATGCACTGCATAAGGGATAGAGTGCCATTGGGACACAACCTGAGGGATAGTGAGAAGGTCAGGGTGATGTCATAGCTATGTCATCCTGTTGAGTGAAGCAAGAGCTGGACAACTACATTATTAATGTGTGTGTTTTAACAACTAGGCTACAAGCTACACATTGACACATACAGAAAGGGGGCACACACCTCACAACTGAATTCCATGTCTGCATCCATTGTGGTGATCCTGACATTGAAGTTCTTGGCTTGTTTTCTTCTCAGTGAGTTCAGTCCCATTTTAGCTACCAAGGCACTTGCCATGTTGACAAACCCTCAATTTGTTTAGCTAGACTATAACGTTAGTTATAGCTAGTGTATAGGTATAATGTGATGATGTCAACAGTGGCACACAATGGCGTCATAACAACAACAATATCACGTGTTTTCCCATTCTATTCGTAGTCTTTTTAGATACTATTTCTTTGATTGACATACTTTATCTTCTTCAGTGTAACAGTAATCACAGTTCTGCGCGTGAGAACCTGAGGGTTGCGCCAAAACATTCACAAGCTAGCTAATTTAGCTTTTTAGCTATGCTACTAGCTACAACTTCAGCAATTTACTGTAACCAGATTTGTAAATCTAGATTGGTAAAATATATATAGTAGGGCATTATCCAACACCTTTTACTTTCAGTTATGGTATTTAGCTAGCTAATTGGCTTAATATAGCTAGCTAGCTCGCCTAGCTAACTTTCGGATGGGAAGCTTCACCTGTTTTGTAAACATACCAATGCGCTAACTCATAAATTCGGTTGTTTCATACTCGGAAAACGGGTTCCCGTTGAAACATGAATTCCGTTCAAACGTAAAGTATCCTCGCACTCATGGAGAGGTGATTTAAGTCTTCTGAAACCTTTCAATTACAATAACAAAAGTTAGAGCCCTATTAGCATACTTTACTAGTAGCAGCTAACTAGCTTCCTCGTTCATCGAGAAGGCGGTCCTAACAAATGTCGCTGTAATCAGAGACGGCCTGACTGACCTATCTTCATTTACCCACCATCTTTACTGTAATGTGATTGGCTTATTCTTCTTTGGGTTGTAACTTGTGAATCCAGCGCCATCTTTTGGTTAAAAAATACCAACAGATGGGCATGCATTGATCATACTGGTATTTTGAGTAGCCAACAGTGGGCAATATATTGGCAGTAAAAGAGTCATGGGTTCACTTCAGTCAGTTTGCAAAACATTTTTATTGTTAGTAACTTAAGTGTAAGCACAACGGTAAAGACAAAAGCACTTTAAAAAATGTTGACTGTACAGTACACTGGACCCAATTCTACATGAAGTGGAGATGTATCTGTCTTAAAAATCTAATTTCTATCTGCAACGTTATGTTATGCCACTGAATATGCTGAATAAATTAGTTAATAAAAGCAGAAATATAAATGTTTATGTACATGACAATGTTTCTCCCAATCATGTGTCTAGCCTGTCTGCTCTCACAGGGAATGATCTTTCATTTATTAGCCTCTGTGCTTACTCTTCCTGTCTTTCCTTTGAATTGCAGCAAAGATATAATGGTTTATTCCTCTAAGTCTGAATCCTCTCTGGTTGCAGACTCCTGACCTGCCACTGGTCTCTAAAGACACACAGACATAATCTCCCAATGACAAAAAGCCTGGCAGAACATGCAATCAAACAATCATGATCAAATCTGCCACTATCCTACCCCCTTTGACACAACCTCTTTCTATATTTCCCCATTGTCATCATCTGTCTTTATATGGTCAATAAAATCTGAAAATCCCTTAAAATATATATACATATGCCTAGGCTACCTCATACAGTATGCGTTTGCGTAAGGGGTAGTATATGAAAAGCCCAAGAAAGCCCAGCCCACCTCTGAGGACCAGTAACAACACCTGCCTCTCCTGAAGGTCACATTCACCGGTCTCACTGATGGACTCTGTGCGTGTGTGTGTGTGTGTGTGTGTGTGTGTGTGTGTGTGTGTGTGTGTGTGTGTGTGTGTGTATGTGTGTGTTACCTGGTAATTGTATCTGGAGAGTGATGAGGATTACCGATGCTCAAATCTTCAGACTCTTCACAAGTAATAATGTGCTTAACAACTCACATAATAAGTTGCATGGACTCACTGTGTGCAATAATAGTGTTTAACATGATTTTTGAATGACTACCTCATCTCTGTACTCCACACATACAATTATCTGTGAAGTCCCTCAGTCGAGCAGTACATTTCAAACACAGTTTCTACCACAAAGACCAGGGAGGTTTTCCAATGCCTCGCAAAGAAGTGCACCTATTGGTAGATTGGTAAAGACACTTTGGATGGTGTATCAATACACCCAGTCACTACAAAGATACAGGCGTCCTTCCTAACTCAGTTGCCAGAGAGGAAGGAAACCGCTCAGGGATTTCACCATGAGGCCAATGAGTTTAAAGGCTGTGATAGGAGAAATCTGAGGATGGATCAACAACATTGAAATTACTCCACAATACTAACCTAATTGGCAGAGTGAAAAGAAGGATGCTTGTACAGAACACTAATATTCAAAAACATGTATCCTGTTTGCAACACTAAAGTAAAATAAATTGGCAAAGCAATTAACTTTTTGTCCTGAAAACAAAGTGTTATGTTGGGGCAAATCCAATACAACACATTACTGAGTACCACTCTCCATATTTTCAAGCATAGTGGTGGCTGCATCATGTTATGGGTATGCTTGTAATCGTTAAGGACTGGGGAGTTTTTCAGGATAAGAAAGAAACAGAATGGAGCCCAGGCAAACTCATAGAGGAAAACCTGGTTCGGTCTGCTTTCCACCAGACTCTGGGAGATGAATTCACCTTTCAGCAGGACAATAACCTAAAACATAAGTCCAAATCTACACTTGAGTTGCTTACCAAGAAGACAGTGAATGTTCCTGAGTGGCCAAGTTACAGTTTTGACTTAAATCTGCTTGAAAATTCATGGCAAGACTTGAAAATGGTTGTCTAGCAATGATCAACAACCAATGTGACAGAGCTTTAAGAATTTTGAAAATAATAATGGGCAAATATTGTACAATCCAGGTGTGCAATCTTAGAGACTCAAAGCTGTAATCGCTGCCAAAGGTGATTCTAACATGTATTGACTCAGAGGTGTGAATACTTAAATTAGATATTTATGTATTTCATTTTCAATAAATTTGCAAACATTTTTCCACTTTGTTTCCACTTTGTCATTATGGGGTATAGTGTGTAGATGGGTGTATATATTTGATCCATTTTGAATTCAGGCTGTAACACAACAAAATATGGATAATAAGAATAATTTATGAAGACACTGTAAGTGCATGAATTGGACCATTTTCCGGTCCTGTTAACGTAGCACATGGGGTGTGTGAAACATACTCCTCAGTCTGAAGTGTTGCCACTTGCGCCGCCGAATTGTTACCTTTTCGTTGGCGCCGACTGGTAAGAAGCATCGGGAGGGCGGTCACATTTGGGCCAATGATGGTCTTTTGAATGTCAACATTCTAACAATAAATACATTTCATATATTCTATCACAAAAATAATAATTTGGTTGTGTTTATGAAGGTCTTAGGTAACAGAATACACAATAAAATGTATTCCAAAGAACACAATAGCATTTTCATTAGTGTAGTGTCACAACTCCCTCCGAAGCTGCCGCCTCTCCTTGTTCAGGCAGGCTTCGGCGTTCATCGTCACTGGCCTTCTAGCCACTGCCGCTCCTCATTTCATCATTCCATTTGTTTTGTCTTGTTTATTACACACACCTGGTTCATATCCCTCATCAGTACCTGTATAAGTGTTCCCTCTGCCCCCTTGTCTTTGTGTGTGATTGTTTATTGTGGAGGATAGTGAAGCTCGGTGGAGCTCCGTGTATTTTGTATCGCCGGTGTCACACCCTGGTTCTGGGACTCATTATGTTGAGCCAGGGTGTGTGCAGTCTATGTGGTTTTGTTCTATGTTGGGTGTCTAGGTTGTCGTTTTCTATGTTTGGTCGATGACTCCCAATCGGAGGTAACGAGTGTCAGCTGTCGGCTCGTTATCTCTGATTGGGAGCCATATTTATACTGTGTGTTTTCACCTTGGGGTTGTGGGTTTTTGTTCCTGTACAGTCATTGCCACTGTGGACTTCACTTTCGTCTTTTGTTTTGTAGTTACGTGCTGTCTTTATTAAAGTCATCATGTTCACTCAACGCGCTGCGTATTGGTCTGCTCCTTTTATAGACGATCGTGACAGAAAAACCCACCATAAAAGGACCAAGCAGCGTGTCAAGCGGCAACAGGATTTATGGACGCCTATCAAGGATTCATGGACATGGGAGGAGATACTGGATGGAAAGGGTCCTTGGGCACAACCGGGAGAATATCGCCGCCCTCGTGAAGAGCTGGAGGCAGCTAAAGCCGAGAGGAGGTGGTATGAGGAGGCAGCACGGAGTCGAGGCTGGAAGCCCGTGGGTACTACCCAAAAATTTCTTGGGGGGGGGGCTAAAAGGGAGTGTGGCGAAGTCAGGTAGGAGACCTGCGCCTACTCCCTGGACTGACCGTGGAGAGCGAGAGTACGGGCAGACACCGTGTTACGCAGTAGAGCGCATGGTGTCTCCTGTACGCAGGCATAGCCCGGTTCGGTACATTCCAGCTCCACGTATCGGCCGGGCTAGATTGAGCATTGAGCCGGATGTCATGAAGCCGGCCCAACGCATCAGGCCACCAGTGCGTCTCCTCGGGCCGGCTTACATGGCACCAGCCTTACGCATGGTGTCCCCGGTTCGCCTACATAGCCCGGTGCGGGTTATTCCTCCTTCCCGTACTGGTCGGGCGACGGGGAGTATACAACCAGGTAAGGTTGGGCAGGCTCAGTGCTCAAGGGAGCCAGTACGCCTGCACGGTCCGGTATTTCCGGCGCCACCTCCCCGCTCCAGTCCAGTACCACCAGTGCCTACACCACGCACCAAGCCTCCTGTGTGTCCCCAGAGTCCTGTGCGTCCTGTTGCTGCTCCCCGCACTAGCCCTGAGATGCGTGCCCTCAGCCGGGACCACCAGTTCCGGCACCACGCACTAGGCCTTATGTGGGTCCCCAGGGTCCAGCATGCCCTGTTGCTACTCCCCGCACTAGCCCTGAGATGCGTGTCCTCAGCCCGGGACCACCAGTTCCGGCACCACGCACCAGGCCTATAGTGCGTCTCGGCCGGCCAGAGTCTGCCGTCTGCCCAACGGCGCCTGAACTGCCCGTCTGCCCAACGGCGCCTGAACTGCCCGTCTGCCCAACGGCGCCTGAACTGCCCGTCTGCCCAACGGCGCCTGAACTGCCCGTCTGCCCAACGGCGCCTGAACTGCCCGTCTGCCCAACGGCGCTTGAACTGCCCGTCTGCCCAACGGCGCCTGAACTGCCTGTCTGCCCAACGCCGTCTGAACTGTCCGTCTGCCAAGCGCTGCATAAGCCGCCCGTCTGCCATGAGCCTTCAGAGCCGTCCGCCAGACCGGAGCCGCTAGAGCCTTCCGCCAGACAGGATCAGCCAGAGCCTTCCGCCAGACAGGATCAGCCAGAGCCTTCCGCCAGACAGGAGCCGCTAGAGCCTTCCGCCAGACAGGATCAGCCAGAGCCTTCCGCCAGACAGGATCAGCCAGAGCCTTCCGCCAGACAGGATCAGCCAGAGCCTTTCGCCAGACAGGATCAGCCAGAGCCTTCCGCCAGACAGGATCAGCCAGAGCCTTCTGCCAGACAGGATCAGCCAGAGCCTTCCGCCAGACAGGATCAGCCAGAGCCTTCCGCCAGACAGGATCAGCCAGAGCCTTCCGCCAGACAGGATCCGTCGGCCAGCCATGAGCAGCCAGATCCGTCAGCCAGCCATGAGCAGCCAGATCCGTCAGCCAGCCATGAGCAGCCAGATCCGTCAGCCAGCCATGAGCAGCCAGATCCTTCAGCCAGCCATGAGCAGCCAGATCCGT